CCCCCCCGCCCCCAACTGGTGTATTGAGGGGATCCAGTTCAGGCCTATGAGGAGAGAGGGGGCTCCATTCCACTTCCTTTCCAATACCCCTAGCTCCAGCCAGGCCTCTTGAGAGCAGCAGCAGCACAGAGCTGTCAGCTGTTTTGCCTGGCCTGAGCGGTATTCATTTATCACCTGATTTAATAAGGGTTATTTTTTGCATGATCAGCCATTTTAAAAATGCTTTGCACATGTGTTATAACATTGCTATAGAGCACTTTCAGGGGCCAGGTCGCATGAAAAATGTCACTTTTATCTGTGCCCATGAGAGAACACAAGTTCCTATGGCACTATGCTTTAGAAACCCTTAATCTAGTAACTGATTTGATGAGGGTTCATTCTTTACACGGTCAGCCATTTTAAGTGTTCTGCAGCTGTGCACATATGTTACATCACAGCTGTAGAGTGTGGTCAGGGGCTGATCACATGAAAAATGTCACTTGTGTAAGCACCCATAGATAACAAGGTCCTGAAATTGTGCAGATGTAGGCTTTACTTAGCTTCCCTCCATGAGTAATCTCACTGATTTGGGACCGTATACAGTGCATACTGTTAACTAGGCATGTACTTTAAAATGATGTTCAGGGGTTGGCCAGGTGCCTGAATGGGAGTTCTCTGCATCAGCCAGGCACAGATTGATTCCCAATTTTAGTCTTTTGTGCCTGTGGGATTTTTTACAACAAACTGTAGACCTGGACTGTCCTGCATTGCTTAACAGCAACCTCCCAGCACTAGATCTCTAAAGGGAGTTCAGTGCCAGAGACTTGAGATTCTCCATCTTCAAGGACCAGAGTTGGGGCAGGGAAGGAGGTCACTGGTTTTGATCTCTCACTAATGTTGATTGGGAGAGATCCCACCAAGGTCAGTGCACTTATACCAGTGTCAAACTGGCTTGCTCAGGAGCTCAATTCAGACTCATGGCAATTGCATGTATTTCATTGCCCCAGAAACATGCAATATCTAATTTTTCCCCCCTTCACCTATAGGTCTGTAAAGAAATTAACTACCTTTTCCAGTTGCTAGCTGTCTTCATACAAGTCACAGCAGGTAAATATGCTGGCTTTTTTTCTCTGTCTTGTCTTCTCTCCTAAACGCAAGGTGCTGAGGTAGAGACGCACAGTGAAGAGATAGCAATGCTATGCCTGTGAAATATGGATCAAACCACTGGAAACATTAACAGGAGAAACAAGACCTGCCCTAATCTGAATTCCTCTATTTGGTGCTGGGCAATAAGACATGTGAGAAGAGGGAAGAAATGGTCTTGTACAAACTCTAAAGCCCAGATGAAATCTATTGCATGGATTAGTGCCTGGCAGAGATTAGGGATAGGATTTTCAAAAGTACCTAATTTATTTAGAAGCCCACATCCAGCCAGTCTATTAAAATGACCTAGCTAGACACTGTCACAACCCAAGGGTGTGATTTTGTGTGTGCGCGCTTCGGCACTGCTAAATTATTTCCCGCCACGAGGAGCTTTCTTTGCAGGGTGCATTTCTCAGTTGCAAAGAGAAAACCCCGGTGCAAAGAAGTTCCCGCCACCCGCATGCAAATTTGTGTCCCACTATTGGCCAGTTCTAAATTATTCCCACGTGGAGGCTAGCAATTGGCTTGCTAGCTGTATAAGAGGCTTGAGCGGTTTCCGCCCAAGTTGGAGGACTCCACAACCATCTGGAGGAGGAGGACTTCACGTCTCGTGAAGAACTCTAAGCGCTGCGGAGCCTATCGGATCCAGCGTGTACCTTGAGAAGGCTATAGGGGTCTGATCAACCTCTGGCCTCTCCCCGTCGCCGAGCACGATCCCTCGACAAACCGCTTCCCTGCGCACAAGTTCCACAGAGCCTAGCAAACTTTGTGTGAGTGTATCCAGAGCTCTTCTCCGAGTTTTCTTCGGTTGACACGACGGGCTCGCGGTTTTAGAGCCTTCAGCCGGATTGGGCTAGAGTTCGCGAGATTAGAACTCTTGTCCGCTCTTCTTTCCTATTGTGCAGGCCGGCTCCCGGTCCCGTCCTCGCCAGGCGCGAGCCGGGCCCGTCTGTGTGCGCGCGGGCTGTGGCCGGCAGCCCGGGCATGCGGGGCCGGAGAAAAGTCGCGGGGTGGAGTAATACGCTCAAGCTAGAATCAGTCACGGAGGCGTGATGGTTGATTGAAAAGATTATTTACTTACACCGGAGATGGTCGCGGTGCAGGCTGGACAGTTTCCCAGGTACAGCTCCGCTTCCTTCCTCGTTGGAGGACTCTAAAACTCGGTTCCCAGGATCCTCGGAGTGGTTCAGACTCTGTGGTGTCGATAACTGGGTTCTGTTCCCAGGATCCCCGGAGCGGTTAAGACTCTGTGGTGTCGATAACTGGGTTCTAGGGGTGGGGATTCGTCTG